GGTCTGGAAGAGACACCCTGGCATGGTTTTCCAGGAAACTTCTTGCAGTTCTTCTTTTGTATAGTCTGACTTTTAACTATTTGCCTGGCCCGTGTTGGGTTACTTTCCCACCAGAGACCGAGCCACAGAGTTTAAGATATTTTGGGGGTCGTATAGAAAATTAAAATCGATAACCATCGAACTAACGTTCCAGGACCGCCCACACCTCCTTCCATCATCTGATCTACGTTCCAGGCCGCCCACACCTCCTTCCATCATCTGATCTACGTTCCAGGACCGCCCACACCTCCTTCCATCATCTGATCTACGTTCCAGGACCGCCCACACCTCCTTCCATCATCTGATCTACGTTCCAGGACCGCCCACACCTCCTTCCATCATCTGATCTACGTTCCAGGACCGCCCACACCACCTTCCATCATCTGATCTACGTTCCAGGACCGCCCACACCTCCTTCCATCATCTGATCTACGTTCCAGGACCGCCCACACCACCTTCCATCATCTGATCTACGTTCCAGGACCGCCCACACCACCTTCCATCATCTGATCTACGTTCCAGGACCGCCCACACCACCTTCCATCATCTGATCTACGTTCCAGGACCGCCCACACCACCTTCCATCATCTGATCTACGTTCCAGGACCGCCCACACCACCTTCCATCATCTGATCTACGTTCCAGGACCGCCCACACCACCTTCCATCATCTGATCTACGTTCCAGGACCGCCCACACCACCTTCCATCATCTGATCTACGTTCCAGGACCGCCCACACCACCTTCCATCATCTGATCTACGTTCCAGGACCGCCCACACCACCTTCCATCATCTGATCTACGTTCCAGGACCGCCCACACCACCTTCCATCATCTGATCTACGTTCCAGGACCGCCCACACCACCTTCCATCATCTGATCTACGTTCCAGGACCGCCCACACCACCTTCCATCATCTGATCTACGTTCCAGGACCGCCCACACCACCTTCCATCATCTGATCTACGTTCCAGGACCGCCCATATCTTCCATAATTCGAATTACCTTTCACTTAACTCACGTTTATACCAGAATCAATCTCTGCTGGATGACAAAGTGCCCTATGACAAGCCTCTATAACTTCAGGCTGGACTGAAGTGTATTGCGTTTCAGGCATTTAAGTTTTTCACTCGATACTGAAGAATTTCGATGAATTGACACAAAAATTCACAATCGACTTGAGAATGGTCCAGGACGGACCGAAACGTCGTCGTCCCTTCACCTTCTAGTGTGTGGTTTGGTCAACATACTTCAGCCACGTTATTGTGACTCTTCGTCTGCAATTTCGATGAATTAATGAAACTCCTCTACCAGAATCCCTCGTTCCAGGGCTACTAAGTACTAGTTGCTCCGAAACAAAGAGTACAGAGCCAATGTTGTGTTGCTGGCTGCCCCTATTGACATACGACACACTATTGATTTTCCGACGTGCTACTTAGAAGATAAGGGCTGATAGCGACCTTCCGGACCCCTGGATGAACTACCAACTACCATATTCTCATTGCAGTCAGTCGTTACTTAATGAAAGCATCCTCCTGTTCCCTCTGCTACTGCTAAAACTGCGTCGTTCCGTATTTATCTAACTGCCCTGGATGCTGCATCTCAAACTGCTTCATCTCATCCAGCATGGTTGAGATTATTATGGAAGCTTCTGAACCTGTCTCCAAACAGAATCTTCATCTTCCCTCTGACACTAGAGGCCATTTAGTGTCACTCTTGACCTTAGAGGAGCAGCTGTAGAGGTGGTCAAAACTCTATAATTGGAGGTGGTCTTACAGTTCACACTCGGCTGGCTATCTTGGCTAGTAAACCACCGATTTCAAGATAACCTTAATGCCACTAGATTGCACCAGACAGCAGTTATTACCACTCGATAACACCAGATAACTATATATATTAGATATCTATAAACATCACCATGAAACACAAGATAACACGAGAGAACACTATATAACACTATATATTAGATAGCAATAGATATAAAACAAAAGATAACACAAGAAAACACTAGATAACACAAACGTACACACTAGAAAACACAGGTGGTGTTTGGTCACTCACTGTCACTCTGTTACTCTCGTTCTGTGCCTGAGACTCACTCTAGTTTGTTATTTCCCAGCTTTCTTGCACTCTGACAATTGACCACCGTTTTGACACTCTTCATGATGCCTTTATTAGTGCTTGGCACTATGATTCTCATCGTCCTCCCCTTTGACACTCTTCCTCACCAGAAAGAGTGCCACTATCTTCTTTCTCGCACTCAAATCTGGTACTCACGCACTCTCCATCTCTGGCACTCTTTCTAGAGTCCTTCATTACTTTTTGGCACTCTGTCTGGTACGTTAAGTTCCTTCTGGCTCTGTTGGTCATCTCTGGCACTCTTTCTGGTACCTTAAGTTCACTCTGGCACTCTGATATCTTCCCTGGAATTTGGCACTCTTCCTGCCTACTGGTATTCACTCTTCTCGCTGCTGAGAGTGTCTTTATCCAGTGTCCATAACTCTAGCTACGATACGCACATTTCACTCTCACTTTCACTCTCACTTTCACTCTCATACAGCTCCTCCACTCTCCCCTCTCTCACGTTACCTCTCTCTCTAGTCGAAGTCTGGCTTTCACTCTCACGGCTACCTCTCTTTCTGCCACCTCTCTCACTCGCTTTTCCCCCTCACTCTCTCTCTCATTCCCTCACTGTCTCACCTTTCACTCACACCAATTGGTGACCCTGATGAGAGTGAAGACAGACATACACTAATTTCACTCTGGTCTCCTCTGAGTGACCTTCTACCAGTCATCACCAGTAAGAAATATATTTTTGTCAGCTAATGAAACCTCAAATTAATTATTTTTGTAATTTTTTTTTGTATCGCTCAACAAATAAAAACATTTCTATCAAAATTGGTTGAAATATATATTTTTTTTTCAAAATTTATTTATGAAATATTTAGGATTTGGCAACAGATATTTTTTCACAAATTTAAAAAAATAGTTTTGAAATGGTGAAATATTTCAGCCAATAAATCTAACGCCTTTAACAATGTGTATTTTCCTCAAAATAATAACGAATAAAATCTTAATAACTAACGTAACTAAAAAAAATAATCTGTAAACAAAATGTTTTTTTTGAAATATGAATTTTTTCCCGCCAAAAAAGTGATCTCTTTCTTCGTTAAGCTTCGTTATTGCAAAAGCTTCGTTATTGCAAAAGCTTCGTTATTGCAAAAGCTTCGTTATTGCAAGCTTCGTTATTGCAAAAGCTTCGTTATTGCAAGCTTCGTTATTGCAAAAGCTTCGTTATTGCAAAAGCTTCGTTATAGCAAAAGCTTCGTTATTGCAAAAGCTTCGTTATTGCAAAAGCTTCGTTATTGCAAAAGCTTCGTTATTGCAAAAGCTTCGTTATTGCAAAAGCTTCGTTATTGCAAGCTTCGTTATTGCAAAAGCTTCGTTATTGCAAAAGCTTCGTTATAGCAAAAGCTTCGTTATTGCAAAAGCTTCGTTATTGCAAAAGCTTCGTTATTGCAAAAGCTTCGTTATTGCAAGCTTCGTTATTGTAGCTTCGTTATTGCAAGCTTCGTTATTGCAAGCTTCGTTATTGCAAGCTTCGTTATTGCAAGCTTCGTTATTGTAGCTTTGTTATTGCAAGCTTCGTTATTGCAAGCTTCGTTATTGCAAGCGTCGTTATTGCAAGCTTCGTTATTGCAAAAGCTTCGTTATTGCCAAAGCTTCGTTATTGCAAGCTTCGTTATTGCAAGCTTCGTTATTGTAGCTTCGTTATTGCAAGCTTCGTTATTGCAAGCTTCGTTATTGCAAGCTTCGTTATTGTAAGCTTCGTTATCGCAAAAGCTTCATTATTGCAAAAGCTTCGTTATTGCAAAAGCTTCGTTATTGCAAAAGCTTCGTTATTGCAAGCTTCGTTATTGCAAGCTTCGTTATTGCAAGCTTCGTTATTGCAAGCTTGGGGAATTGGCAGTTCACCAACACCTGAACGGGAACAACCCCAGCTGTAATTTCTCTGCAATTAGTCACTAAACAAGATGGAATCAGCCACCTTAGTCACTAACAAGAAGGAATCAGCCACCTTAGTCACTAAACAAGATGGAATCAGCCACCTTAGTCACTAACAAGAAGGAATCAGCCACCTTAGTCACTAAACAAGATGGAATCAGCCATCTTAGTCACTAAACAAGATGGAATCAGCCATCTTAGTCACTAACAAGAAGGAATCGGCCACCTTAGTCACTAAACAAGATGGAATCAGCCATCTTAGTCACTAAACAAGATGGAATCAGCCACCTTAGCCACTAACTAGAAGGAATCAGCCACCTTAGTCACTAACAAGAAGGAATCAGCCACCTTAGTCACTAAACAAGAAGGAATCAGCCACCTTAGTTACTAAACAAGATGGAATCAGCCACCTTAGTCACTAAACAAGATGGAATCAGCCACCTTAGTCACTAAACAAGATGGAATCAGCCACCTTAGTCACTAAACAAGATGGAATCAGCCACCTTAGTCACTAAACAAGATGGAATCAGCCACCTTAGTCACTAAACAAGAAGGAATCAGCCACCTTAGTCACTAAACAAGAAGGAATCAGCCATCTCAGCCACTAAACAAGTAGGAATCAAGGAACGACAGGTCGTCCAGAGTGTGTCTACAAGGAGAGGTCCACACCTTGCTCTCCTGCAACTGTTTATCTCGTGTTGTGGTCGCTGTGGGCCAACCAGTGTAAGTGAAATGTGGTTTGCGTCTCCGTGGAGTTTTGTCAAGTCAAAATATATCTGTTATTCACTTTGATCTTCTCTTCTGTCCGGGTTCGAGCCCAATGTGATATCTGGGAACATTTCCTTTCCCTCGATGCCTCTGGTCAATCTAGCGGGAAACAGGTACCCTGGAATTAGTTGGCTGTTGTGGGTAGCATCCTGGGAAAGGGTTTGTAGCTGGCCTAAGGGGAAGACCTAGCTAATCCAAGCTGGCTTCCTGTCCCAGAGCACGTGTTCTGACTGTGGGGCGTCCTGTTGGCATGTGTTCTGACTGTGGGCGACCTGTTGGCATGTGTTCTGACTGTGGGTGACCTGTTGGCACGTGTTCTGACTGTGGGGCGACCTGTTGGCATGTGTTCCGACTGTGGGCGACCTGTTGGCATGTGTTCCGACTGTGGGCGACCTGTTGGCATGTGTTCCGACTGTGGGCGACCTGTTGGCACGTGTTCTGACTGTGGGGCGACCTGTTGGCACGTGTTCTGACTGTGTTGGCACGGCGACCTGTTGGCACGTGTTCTGACTGTGAGCGACCTGTTGGCACGTGTTCTGACTGTGAGCGACCTGTTGGCACGTGTTCTGACTGTGAGCGCGGCACGTGTCTGACTGCACTGTTGTGTTCTGACTGTGGGCGACTTGTTGGCACGTGTTCTGACTGTGGGCGACCTGTTGGCACGTGTTCTGACTGTGAGCGACCTGTTGGCACGTGTTCTGACTGTGAGCGACCTGTTGGCACGTGTTCTGACTGTGAGCGACCTGTTGGCACGTGTTCTGACTGTGAGTGACCTGTTGGCACGTGTTCTGACTGTGGGCGACCTGTTGGCACGTGTTCTGACTGTGGGCGACCTGTTGGCACGTGTTCTGACTGTGAGCGACCTGTTGGCACGTGTTCTGACTGTGGGCGACCTGTTGGCACGTGTTCTGACTGTGAGCGACCTGTTGGCACGTGTTCTGACTGTGAGCGACCTGTTGGCACGTGTTCTGACTGTGGGGCGTTGCTTGTGTCCAATCCCAACAGGAGTAAGATAAAGGAGATGGAAATGAAAAAAAATGGTATCTACCTTTAGAAGGTGTAGCAGTAGATATAACTCCAACACTGCGCCCAGAGACACACATAGACTGGGTAACACCGGCAGAATATGAGACGCTGTTAAACATTATCACGTCCTTTAGGTCATAAAACTAAAATTTAAAAAAATCAACATCTTGCAACAAGAGTAGTACCAGAGCTAAAGGGGCAAAGCTATGAGGACAGGTTATTGAAACTAGACCCTGAAGGAGAAAAGAAACAGTGAGGACATGATCGCAACATGCTAGATACTGAGGGGAATTACCAAGGTGAAGAAGGCCAGCCCATTTACACTGAGAGACAGTAGGACAAGAGGACACAGGTGGAAGCTGGAAACGGAAATGAGTCGAAGAAATGTAAGGTTAGTCAATACTTCCTGGGGGTGGAGCCCTGGTCGAGGACCGGGCCGCGGGGACACTAAAGGTACCCTGTACGGCTGGTCAACACGTGGAATGCTCTCAAAGAAGGAGTTGTGGAAGCCACCTCCATCCACAACTTCATACACAGATCCGGCACAAAAATGGAACGTCACTGATAGGTAAATATAGGTAAGGACTACCACCACTAGATCACAATACTTAGATTACAACGCAACATGTAAAATAAGGGAAGTAGGCGAGGCATTACGAACCAGACTTCCCTTCCCCATACTCACTGATAGGTAAATATAGGGAAGTACCCTCTTCCCCACCACCAACCCCCCCTACCCTAACCTTCCCACTCTCTATGACTCCCCAAAATACCTCCCCACCACCACCACCCCTACCCTAACCTTCCCACTCTCTATGACTCCCCAAAATACCTCCCCACCACCACCACCCCTACCCTAACCTTCCCACTCTCTATGACTCCCCAAAATACCTCCCCACCACCACCACCCCTACCCTGACCTTCCCACTCTCTATGACTCCCCACCACCCCAAAATACCTCTCCCCACCACCACCACCACCCCTACCCTGACCTTCCCACTCTCTATGACTCCCCAAAATACCTCCCCCCACCACCACCACCCCTACCCTAACCTTCGCACTCTCTATGACTCCCCAAAATACCTCCCCACCACCTCTACCCCTACCCTACACTACCCCGTCTTTCCCTTCCCTTTCATCTTCCCTGCGCCTTTTCTTCCTACCTTCTGCAGTAGATTAATTGCTCCCAGACCTGCGGTAAAGGTCACCCATCCGACCGCCCGCCAAGATGTATATTTTCTGAATTTAAATTAATTTGTGTTGGCCACAATATTTTCCCCTGAGTCCACTTGAGCCCCTCCAAGCTTTTATTGCTACGCTAAGGTATAGTCTCACACCTGCTGCAGTGTTGGAGGAGTGTTGGGGGCCTCCCACAGTGTTGGTGGAGTGTTGGGGGCCTCCCACAGTGTTGGTGGAGTGTTGGAAGCCTCCCACAGTGTTGGTGGAGTGTTGGAGGCCTCCCACAGTGTTGGTGGAGTGTTGGAGGCCTCCCACAGTGTTGGTGGAGTGTTGGAAGCCTCCCACAGTGTTGGTGGAGTGTTGGAGGCCTCCCATAGTGTTGGTGGAGTGTTGGAGGCCTCCCACAGTGTTGGTGGAGTGTTGGAGGCCTCCCACAGTGTTGGTGGAGTGTTGGAGGCCTCCCACAGTGTTGGTGGAGTGTTGGAGGCCTCCCACAGTGTTGGTGGAGTGTTGGAGGCCTCCCACAGTGTTGGTGGAGTGTTGGAGGCCTCCCACAGTGTTGGTGGAGTGTTGGAGGCCTCCCACAGTGTTGGTGGAGTGTTGGGGGCCTCCCACAGTGTTGGTGGAGTGTTGGAGGCCTCCCACAGTGTTGGTGGAGTGTTGGAGGCCTCCCACAGTGTTGATGGAGTGTTGGAGGCCTCCCATAGTGTTGGTGGAGTGTTGGAGGCCTCCCACAGTGTTGGTGGAGTGTTGGAGGCCTGCCACAGTGTTGGTGGAGTGTTGGGGGCCTCCCACAGTGTTGGTGGAGTGTTGGAGGCCTGCCACAGTGTTGGTGGAGTGTTGGAGGCCTCCCACAGTGTTGGTGGAGTGTTGGAGGCCTCCCACAGTGTTGGTGGAGTGTTGGAGGCCTCCCACAGTGTTGGTGGAGTGTTGGAGGCCTGCCACAGTGTTGGTGGAGTGTTGGGGTCGTCTCACAGTGTTGGTGGAGTGTTGGAGGCCTCCCACAGTGTTGGTGGAGTGTTGGAGGCCTGCCACAGTGTTGGTGGAGTGTTGGGGGCCTGCCACAGTGTTGGTGGAGTGTTGTGGGGCCTCCCACAGTGTTGGTGGAGTGTTGGAGGCCTGCCACAGTGTTGGTGGAGTGTTGGAGGCCTCCCACAGTGTTGGTGGAGTGTTGGAGGCCTCCCACAGTGTTGGTGGAGTGTTGGAGGCCTCCCACAGTGTTGGTGGAGTGTTGGAGGCCTCCCACAGTGTTGGTGGAGTGTTGGGGTCGTCTCACAGTGTTGGTGGAGTGTTGGAGGCCTCCCACAGTGTTGGTGGAGTGTTGGGGGTCTCCCACAGTGTTGGAGTCCTCCCACAGTGTTGGTGGAGTGTTGGAGTCCTTACCTTAAGTCCTTCCTATGTATCATTAGGCTGTAGGATAGCATCTTTCTTTTACACACAGGTGAGTACAGGAGCAGACGACTGCTGACTCCTGTTAGCAGGCTGAGAGCTTTCCCTTCCCATAGCTCATGGTAAGCCTTACCCTACTAGTTTTACACACAGGAGGGTACAAGAGCAGACGACTGCTGACTCCTGTTAGCAGGCTGAGAGCTTTCCCTTCCCATAGCTCATGGTAAGCCTTACCCTACTAGTGTTACACACAGCCTTACCCTACTAGTTTTACACACAGGAGGGTACAGGAGCAGACGACTGCTGACTCCTGTTAGCAGGCTGAGAGCTTTCCCTTCCCATAGCTCATGGTAAGCCTTACCCTACTAGTTTTACACACAGGAGGGTACAAGAGCAGACGACTGCTGACTCCTGTTAGCAGGCTGAGAGCTTTCCCTTCCCATAGCTCATGGTAAGCCTTACCCTACTAGTTTTACACACAGGTGGGTACAGGAGCAGACGACTGCTGACTCTTGTTAGCTGGCTGAGAGCTTTCCCTTCCCATAGCTCATGGTAAGCCTTACCCTACTAGTTTTACACACAGGAGGGTACAAGAGCAGACGACTGCTGACTCCTGTTAGCAGGCTGAGAGCTTTCCCTTCCCATAGCTCATGGTAAGCCTTACCCTACTAGTTTTACACACAGGTGGGTACAGGAGCAGACGACTGCTGACTCCTGTTAGCTGGCTGAGAGCTTTCCCTTCCCATAGCTCATGGTAAGCCTTACCCTACTAGTTTTACACACAGGTGGGTACAGGAGCAGACGACTGCTGACTCCTGTTAGCAGGCTGAGAGCTTTCCCTTTCCATAGCTCATGGTAAGCCTTACCCTACTAGTTTTACACACAGGTGGGTACAGGAGCAGACGACTGCTGACTCCTGCTAGCAGGCTGAGAGCTTTCCCTTCCCATAGCTCATGGTAAGCCTTACCTACTAGTTTTACACACAGGTGGGTACAGGAGCAGACGACTGCTGACTCCTGTTAGCAGGCTGAGAGCTTTCCCTTCCCATAGCTCATGGTAAGCCTTACCCTACTAGTTTTACACACAGGTGGGTACAGGAGCAGACGACTGCTGACTCCTGTTAGCAGGCTGAGAGCTTTCCCTTCCCATAGCTCATGGTAAGCCTTACCCTACTAGTTTTACACACAGGTGGGTACAGGAGCAGACGACTGCTGACTCCTGCTAGCAGGCTGAGAGCTTTCCCTTCCCATAGCTCATGGTAAGCCTTACCCTACTAGTTTTACACACAGGTGGGTACAGGAGCAGACGACTGCTGACTCCTGTTAGCAGGCTGAGAGCTTTCCCTTCCCATAGCTCATGGTAAGCCTTACCCTACTAGTTTTATACAGGTGTAAAACGTATATACATATATCTTTGCATATATACAATATTTCTTACATTCATATAAAGCCACTAGCATGCATAGCGTTTCGGGCAGGTCCTTAATCCTAATTTTATTGAGCCAGAAAATCTTTTAACAATGAGGTACCCATTCACTGCTGGGTAAACAGAGGCTACAGTTGAGGATTGGCGACTAGTCAATCCTCCCCGACCAGGATACGAAGCCAGGCTAAATCGCTCGCGAAACCTGCATTCCACTTCTTGACCACTTATATGTGGGTTCGAGTATTTCCTTATATATATCTTAGACTGATTTGTGTCTCGAACTGCTACCTGTGTCTTCTTGTCCTTCCTGTGTCTTCTTCTCTCACCTTCTCTCAATTCAAAGAGGGTGACTCAGTCCATCTTCTCTATTCCCCTCGACAGCTAGAGTTGAACAGTTGAACTGGTAGTATATTTTACTATATAACAAATATTTATCGACAGTTTATGTTGCATATTTACAAAAATTTCTGCAAAGCTTTCAGGATTATCTGGACAATACAAAACAGTCTTCAGTTGCTCGTCTCTGTAGCCTCATGCTAAGTCTGTGGTCGCTGTAGCCTCATGCTAAGTCTGTGGTCGCTGTAGCCTCATGCTAAGTCTGTGGTCGCTGTAGCCTCATGCTCTAAGTCTGTGGTCGCTGTAGCCTCATGCTAAGTCTGTGGTCGCTGTAGCCTCATGCTAAGTCTGTGGTCGCTGTGGCACAATTAGTAGACTGCCTAGAAGTTAGCTTTTGACACAGGCTTAGAGCACAAGCTTGGGGCTCTACGTCAACACGCCCCAGAGTGCCTGGAACACGTTCTGGAATGAATGAAGCACGTGCCAAAACGTCGGCAGAGACCGAGCGACATTCCAGAGTTCGTGCTGGAGGAGAGTAGCGGACACCGACTGGCAGATTCTGGACCACTCGCTGGAAGAGTTTGCTCGCTAGTAAGAGGAGTGTGACGGAGTCTTGCGTGGTGTATGCTGGGAGTGTGACGTGGGAGGAGGGGAAAGAAGGGAAGGATGGGAAGGATGGGAAGGAAGGGAAGGAAGGGGAGAAGGGAAAGGGATGTAGGGAAGAGTAGGGAGGAGGGCCAGTGTGAGGAAGCAACTGCACCTTCCAGGAAAGTTCTGAAGACGGTGTAGG